CCGTCAATCATCTTGTTTCTCCCTATGTCACTGTCTCTCTATCATTTACTATCTCATTCACTATCTTTATTTACTAATACTTACGTTGATTTATTTTTCTAAAACTGCTAGTTTTTGATCATTTGTGATTGCATTTATATGATCTCTCACTGATTCCATCAAAATATGTTTTGCAGAAACACTTCAAACGAAACATGGTGAGTTTCCACTGTTCATCCAGTTTGATTAAAGATACTGAAAATTAGAACAAATTGTAAGCAATACTAAAGGAGCAAAAGGTATCCTCATTTTATAGGTCATAGAGTAAATAAAGTAGTGTCTCTTGTGCACCTTTACTACTAATTTTACATTTTGCTTAAATTTGAGCTATATTTAAGATTTTTTTCAGTTTAATTTCAACTGCCGTTTTACTCTGAACACTTGTTCAGAAATATGAAAGGTATGTTAACCAGAAGTATACTGCTTTATCTTGATAAACACAAAAATTAAGAAATTTCCACAAAACGTTCTCCATTCCATGGAAGAATCACTCCTTTCAGGTGAAGAACACTTCTACTGACTAGCTATTTTTATTGATGTAAAACTCGACCAGAATTAAAATACTCCTGTGAAGTGTACTGTCCAGTGACACTTTGCACATTAAACGTGCTGTGTAGACCTTCACATACCTCCCAGAGAGTCAGTATGCAAAACTGACTCCAGCTCACAAGAAGACACTTGTGGTTGCTCTGAGAACCCCTTTTCGGCTCTGTCTCTGGGAATTTACCTACTTGGGTTTCCTCATTCCTCTGTCAGGGTGTGAACATCTGAGTCAGCCTTCTTGCCTGTGTACACAGTTATCCAAATTCATCAAGTTGTAACTTCCGTCAATACTTGCCATCTTGTCATGGCAGAGTACCATTCAGCAAGTACATCTAAGTCTGAATACCAGTCAAACATCCATGTGAAATCCTATCTCCGTTCACCTCATGGTTGACACTGGGACTTCACTAGCTTGAGACCTCGGTGCATCCTACCACACAAGAGCAGGTTTGAGTACCTGCTTTAAATTTGAAGGAGCCTGTGACTGGGGATTGAATTGCCATGTCACTGTGTTTCTTTTTATATATATCCTGAAATGTATCCTGCTCAAATATCTCTATTGTTGAGCCAACTGAAGAACAACAGATGCACCTTGAGTCCAAACTGTCAAGTGAAGTAAAACTGAATCAGAAGCAAAAATATCATATGATTTATCTCATACAAGAATCGTATTATATATACACATTTCAAAATGAAAGATAGACAATCAGAAAAAAAGAGATAGGATAATAGCACTATTTCCTTTTTCCAGTAAGGAAGTAAAAAATATGAACTTGTTTAGATGCTTCCAAGACTCTTACATGTTTGTATTTATCCAGAAGAGCCAACTTAGTACCTCTCAGTTGCTGTATTACTGCTTTAATTTGTATCTTCAATGTCACCAGAGATACTGGGCACCTTTCTATGGGCCTGTTCTTTTTCCCTCTTCATGGCAGAAACATCCATCTTCTGTCCCTCTCTATGTTTCTAAAAGGAACTGTTATTTTTTTGTCATTAAGCTGAAAGTGTACATTTTCATTTACACACTGTGCAAATTTTTATTACATTCAAAGTTTTCATTTGTCTTTTATTGCTCTGCCCTCATTTTCATTTCTAAACCTCCACTCCAAAATCAAAGGGCATCAAGAAATATCATATTGCACACTTTGCAGTTGCGTTTACTCCAAAGTTATTTCGGTAAGATATTTGATAACCTTTTCTTAAGTTTGAGTAAATATTTTCAGTGCAGGAAAATACAAAGATATGCATCAGAGGCTCATTTATAGCACAGAGATTTTTTTCTAGGCAGGGATTTTTCTCAGAAATGTGGTCATTTTCAAAGGACATTAACTACTTGTACATTGCAACATGGTAATGAAAGAGTCTTCCTTCACACAGAGTCCTTTTGATATAGTAAAACATTTCTCTTTAAAATTAAAATATACAAACAATTTATATTCTCTCCCCTTGTATATATTTAAATAAAATCTGAAAAAAGAAATGTTTAGAACCCATTGCAGTACATTATTGAAAATCAGTAGCAAACAGAATTATAATTTTACATTTTTTAAATTTGTCTGATAATATGAGAATTTCATTATGAAGATGACAACAAACAAAGTGAATGAGAATGAGTGGACATAAGCAGGAAAGGTGCTGAAAACATAGAGGAGCCAGTAAATGAGGTATCAGTACAAAGCAGAGAACCATTGGAGGAACAGAAAAGAAAAGAGGAAATAAATTGTGCCATAAAAAAACATGGCAGGTTCTTCAGTCATCTATGTAAAAGGTGATGGGGTGTTAGTAAGTCCCGTGGAGTTTAGTCATCGGGCCAGTCACAGCCACTGACATGATTTTCCTCACCGGACTTCACAGGTGCATAACCTTACTTCTCAGAAAGCTGTGTAGCACACAAAACTCAGCTCACTAATACTTCTTTATAATGAATAAATTGCTCTGAAAATCTTTCACAGCCTGCTACTTAGATGTGCCGCAAAATAATGTCTGTCAGTATAGCTAATCATCCTACAGTGAACCTTAATGTTTATCAAGCCACATTCGCAGACTGAGGGTGTCAAATTCTCTTGAAGGGAATATACGTCTAGATATTAATGCATCACCAACTCAGCTTTGGAAAGACATGTTTGTAATGGAAGATGAAAGGCTATTTTTCAATAAAGCTTGGAGTTATGCAGGTGCTATAGAGGCATAATATTTGTTATATAAGATCATCACTTGACAATAGTAGATGATGACAAGATTCATCTACCACAAAAAGAAATATTAGAGTATGTGTCTGGTTCACACTCTGCTCTCACAGACATATCGAGGTCATCACTGTTCCTTCAGGGCCCTTGCGAAATAAATACATAAAATGGCAAAATACTGTCAGACTCCCATTTCAGAAATGTTTAACTCGGGAACAAGAAATTGTGAAAATTGACAAGACGGGTGTCCTTCCTCTAATATCGTGGTACTCTTCCACATGTGCTTACTAATTTAGTTTCTGAGCATGGTAGATGGTAAACACGATGCCCTTTAAAACATTTGAATAAAGCCTGGTGCAGAGGAGCATTCAAGAACTATCAATCACGTTAGAATCACTTCGTTTATGTTTCACTGTGATTTTTGTATGTTTTTATTTTATCAGATCAACTCAAAGAAGAGAAGGGTGAGTTTTAATAACACTTTAAGTACAAAATACAACCTTCTTACAGGTATGGATGACTACAGTTTTATCTTTATGCTATTCATTACTACGTTCTCGGAGTATCAGTTAGTAATTTTTATCTATTTTAATAACTAAAATCCTTTAAATATTCTATTTATATTAAATTACTTCTGTAAACCTTAATTCACTTTTCGCCACATCTATTTTTTGATCGTTTTTGATTGCAATTGTAAATTACTTCACTGATTTCCTCAATATTCTTTATTAGTTTTGAAACTGCACTTACAAGAGAAAATGGTGATTTTTCTAATCTTGATTTCCTCTCATAAGGATATTACCGATAGAGCCATAACTTTATCAGTAACAAAGATGTGAAGGAAATCTTCATCTTCAAGATTTATGATAAATGCCACATTGCCTCTGGCACACTTCTAACACTCATTTAGGAGGGTTTTTTTTTTTTGGTTTTTTTTTTTCTTGTTGTTGTTTAAATTCATCTGTTTTAAAAGATTTGCTATTTGTTTTGTCAACTGCCAAATTTTTCTGTAACTACTAGTTCAGGAAAGCAAAAGATAGTTTAGAGGTAACTAGGAAGATATTTCAGCATCACATGTCTACAAATTATGGTACTTAAGCTAGGCCAGTTCTTCACTGTCTGAGTTGACGCTTTCATATTTCATTTCATGATGGCGTGTACTGATTAGTGGCTTTAATTGAGGTGAAAGCCATGGTGAGCTGAGTCAGGCCCTCTACAGCACACATTCAGTAACTTGCAGTACACTTCAGGGCTGTGCCACTCACATGCTTGTAGATCCCAGAGCGGGAGCCAGTGCACTCCGGGCATCATGAGCAGTCAGGTCTGCTTTCCTACACTTAACTCAGCCTTTGACAGTCACTATTCTGCTTTTTCTATGGAATCTTCTGCTCAACTTACCACACATCAAGGACACTACAAAGTATATGACCTTTTGTGGCTGCCTACTTTCACATGTATAGAGTTTTCCACATTTGACACGTTGTAATGTGTGCCAGTACTTTAGTTTTCTTTGTAAATAACACTCTACTGGATGAGTATGTGCAATTGTTTTTAACCCTTTACCTATGGACTTAGGGATTCTTCCCAGTTTGTGCTACAGTAAATACTGTTTTCATCCACAATCCTGTACAATTACGTGATTCAGGCTTGCTTTGACATTTGAAGGAGTCCACACTGGGAATGGAAATGTTGGGGCATGTCTATTTCACTGAAAATTTGCCCATGAAATGCCAGTACTTTTGATTCTCCCATAAAGAAATAGATGCACCCTGAGACTGTAATCAAAAGTAATATAATTCTGGTAAAACGTCACATGGATTCTCCTCCATGGAAACTCAATAGAAGCACAAAAGCAAAAGAAAGCTAAATGATAGGAAAGAGACAGACAGAGAAAATAGCACTACTTCACCTTTCCCCTGAGAATATACACAATTTAAATTTCGGTACACTATTTCCCACACTTCCTCCCCATTTTTTGTTTATAAATTCTCATTAGTGTGTGTGGGTAGCATTTCCTCACAGCCAAGATCTGCATCTCTCTATTAGTGTCCCGGTACCTTCAGGGTCCTGGCCAAAAACTAATAAATACAATGGCAAACTGATGTGAGAGCCGCTTTGCTTTAACTTCTACCTATGGAGTAAGCAGCTCTAAAAAACAAGAAATGTGTCCTGCCTCTAATCTCATGTTACCCTTCCAAGCATATCTACTAATTGTCTGCTGAGCACTGCAAAGCACTCACTGAATATCAGTGATATTAGAATGATTTGGTTTCTATTTGATTGTGAGTTCGGTATGTTTTCATTTTCAGAACAACTCAGAAAGGACAAAGATAAATTTTAATAATATTTTATGAACTAATTACAATCTTGCTACAGTTATTTGTAATCATTTTGTAATCCCTCCTTCTTGAAGTTTTCGAAGTAAGATCTATTTGTGATTTTGATACAGACTTAGTTTTAAAAATCCGTCAATCATCTTGTTTCTCCCTATGTCACTGTCTCTCTATCATTTACTATCTCATTCACTATCTTTATTTACTAATACTTACGTTGATTTATTTTTCTAAAACTGCTAGTTTTTGATCATTTGTGATTGCATTTATATGATCTCTCACTGATTCCATCAAAATATGTTTTGCAGAAACACTTCAAACGAAACATGGTGAGTTTCCACTGTTCATCCAGTTTGATTAAAGATACTGAAAATTAGAACAAATTGTAAGCAATACTAAAGGAGCAAAAGGTATCCTCATTTTATAGGTCATAGAGTAAATAAAGTAGTGTCTCTTGTGCACCTTTACTACTAATTTTACATTTTGCTTAAATTTGAGCTATATTTAAGATTTTTTTCAGTTTAATTTCAACTGCCGTTTTACTCTGAACACTTGTTCAGAAATATGAAAGGTATGTTAACCAGAAGTATACTGGTTTATCTTGATAAACACAAAAATTAAGAAATTTCCACAAAACGTTCTCCATTCCATGGAAGAATCACTCCTTTCAGGTGAAGAACACTTCTACTGACTAGCTATTTTTATTGATGTAAAACTCGACCAGAATTAAAATACTCCTGTGAAGTGTACTGTCCAGTGACACTTTGCACATTAAACGTGCTGTGTAGACCTTCACATACCTCCCAGAGAGTCAGTATGCAAAACTGACTCCAGCTCACAAGAAGACACTTGTGGTTGCTCTGAGAACCCCTTTTCGGCTCTGTCTCTGGGAATTTACCTACTTGGGTTTCCTCATTCCTCTGTCAGGGTGTGAACATCTGAGTCAGCCTTCTTGCCTGTGTACACAGTTATCCAAATTCATCAAGTTGTAACTTCCGTCAATACTTGCCATCTTGTCATGGCAGAGTACCATTCAGCAAGTACATCTAAGTCTGAATACCAGTCAAACATCCATGTGAAATCCTATCTCCGTTCACCTCATGGTTGACACTGGGACTTCACTAGCTTGAGACCTCGGTGCATCCTACCACACAAGAGCAGGTTTGAGTACCTGCTTTAAATTTGAAGGAGCCTGTGACTGGGGATTGAATTGCCATGTCACTGTGTTTCTTTTTATATATATCCTGAAATGTATCCTGCTCAAATATCTCTATTGTTGAGCCAACTGAAGAACAACAGATGCACCTTGAGTCCAAACTGTCAAGTGAAGTAAAATTGACTCAGAAGCAAAAATATCATATGATTTATCTCATACAAGAATCGTATTATATATACACATTTCAAAATGAAAGATAGACAATCAGAAAAAAAGAGATAGGATAATAGCACTATTTCGTTTTTCCAGTAAGGAATTAAAAAATATGAACTTGTTTAGATGCTTCCAAGACTCTTACATGTTTGTATTTATCCAGAAGAGCCAACTTAGTACCTCTCAGTTGCTGTATTACTGCTTTAATTTGTATCTTCAATGTCACCAGAGATACTGGGCACCTTTCTATGGGCCTGTTCTTTTTCCCTCTTCATGGCAGAAACATCCATCTTCTGTCCCTCTCTATGTTTCTAAAAGGAACTGTTATTTTTTTGTCATTAAGCTGAAAGTGTACATTTTCATTTACACACTGTGCAAATTTTTATTACATTCCACGTTTTCATTTGTCTTTTATTGCTCTGGCCTCATTTTCATTTCTAAACCTCCACTCCAAAATCAAAGGGCATCAAGAAATATCATATTGCACACTTTGCAGTTGCGTTTACTCCAAAGTTATTTCGGTAAGATATTTGATAGCCTTTTCTTAAGTTTGAGTAAATATTTTCAGTGCAGGAAAATACAAAGATATGCATCAGAGGCTCATTTATACCACAGAGATTTTTTTCTAGGCAGGGATTTTTCTCAGAAATGTGGTCATTTTCAAAGGACATTAACTACTTGTACATTGCAACATGGTAATGAAAGAGTCTTCCTTCACACAGAGTCCTTTTGATATAGTAAAACATTTCTCTTTAAAATTAAAATATACAAACAACTTATATTCTCTCCCCTTGTATATATTTAAATAAAATCTGAAAAAAGAAATGTTTAGAACCCATTGCAGTACATTATTGAAAATCAGTAGCAAACAGAATTATAATTTTACATTTTTTAAATTTGTCTGATAATATGAGAATTTCATTATGAAGATGACAACAAACAAAGTGAAAGAGAATGAGTGGACATAAGCAGGAAAGGTGCTGAAAACATAGAGGAGCCAGTAAATGAGGTATCAGTACAAAGCAGAGAACCATTGGAGGAACAGAAAAGAAAAGAGGAAATAAATTGTGCCATAAAAAAACATGGCAGGTTCTTCAGTCATCTATGTAAAAGGTGATGGGGTGTTAGTACGTCCCGTGGAGTTTAGTCATCGGGCCAGTCACAGCCACTGACATGATTTTCCTCACCGGACTTCACAGGTGCATAACCTTACTTCTCAGAAAGCTGTGTAGCACACAAAACTCAGCTCACTAATACTTCTTTATAATGAATAAATTGCTCTGAAAATCTTTCACAGCCTGCTACTTAGATGTGCCGCAAAATAATGTCTGTCAGTATAGCTAATCATCCTACAGTGAACCTTAATGTTTATCAAGCCACATTCGCAGACTGAGGGTGTCAAATTCTCTTGAAGGGAATATACGTCTAGATATTAATGCATCACCAACTCAGCTTTGGAAAGACATGTTTGTAATGGAAGATGAAAGGCTATTTTTCAATAAAGCTTGGAGTTATGCAGGTGCTATAGAGGCATAATATTTGTTATATAAAATCATCACTTGACAGTAGTAGATGATGACAAGATTCATCTACCACAAAAAGAAATATTAGAGTATGTGTCTGGTTCACACTCTGCTCTCACAGACATATCGAGGTCATCACTGTTCCTTCAGGGCCCTTGCGAAATAAATACATAAAATGGCAAAATACTGTCAGACTCCCATTTCAGAAATGTTTAACTCGAGAACAAGAAATTGTGAAAATTGACAAGACGGGTGTCCTTCCTCTAATATCGTGGTACTCTTCCACATGTGCTTACTAATTTAGTTTCTGAGCATGGTAGATGGTAAACACGATGCCCTTTAAAACATTTGAATAAAGCCTGGTGCAGAGGAGCATTCAAGAACTATCAATCACGATAGAATCACTTCGTTTATGTTTCACTGTGATTTTTGTATGTTTTTATTTTATCAGATCAACTCAAAGAAGAGAAGGGTGAGTTTTAATAACACTTTAAGTACAAAATACAACCTTCTTACAGGTATGGATGACTACAGTTTTATCTTTATGCTATTCATTACTACGTTCTCGGAGTATCAGTTAGTAATTTTTATCTATTTTAATAACTAAAATCCTTTAAATATTCTATTTATATTAAATTACTTCTGTAAACCTTAATTCACTTTTCGCCACATCTATTTTTTGATCATTTTGATTGCAATTGTAAATTACTTCACTGATTTCCTCAATATTCTTTAATAGTTTTGAAACTGAACTTAAGAGAAAATGGTGATTTTTCTAATCTTGATTTCCTCTCATAAGGATATTACCGATAGAGCCATAACTTTATCAGTAACAAAGATGTGAAGGAAATCTTCATCTTCAAGATTTATGATAAAAGCCCCATTGCCTCTGGCACACTTCTAACACTCATTTAGGAGTTTTTTTTTTTTTTTTGGTTTTTTTTTTTCTTGTTGTTGTTTAAATTCATCTGTTTTAAAAGATTTGCTATTTGTTTTGTCAACTGCCAAATTTTTCTGTAACTACTAGTTCAGGAAAGCAAAAGATAGTTTAGAGGTAACTAGGAAGATATTTCAGCATCACATGTCTACAAATTATGGTACTTAAGCTAGGCCAGTTCTTCACTGTCTGAGTTGACGCTTTCATATTTCATTTCATGATGGCGTGTACTGATTAGTGGCTTTAATTGAGGTGAAAGCCATGGTGAGCTGAGTCAGGCCCTCTACAGCACACATTCAGTAACTTGCAGTACACTTCAGGGCTGTGCCACTCACATGCTTGTAGATCCCAGAGCGGGAGCCGGTGCACTCCGGGCATCATGAGCAGTCAGGTCTGCTTTCCTACACTTAACTCAGCCTTTGACAGTCACTATTCTGCTTTTTCTATGGAATCTTCTGCTCGGCTTACCACACATCAAGGACACTACAAAGTATATGACATTTTGTAGCTGCCTACTTTCACAAGTATAGAGTTTTCCACATTTGACACGTTGTAATGTGTGCCAGTACTTTAGTTTTCTTTGTAAATAACACTCTACTGGATGAGTATGTGCAATTGTTTTTAACCCTTTACCTATGGACTTAGGGATTCTTCCCAGTTTGTGCTACAGTAAATACTGTTTTCATCCACAATCCTGTACAATTACGTGATTCAGGCTTGCTTTGACATTTGAAGGAGTCCACACTGGGAATGGAAATGTTGGGGCATGTCTATTTCACTGAAAATTTGCCCATGAAATGCCAGTACTTTTGATTCTCCCATAAAGAAATAGATGCACCCTGAGACTGTAATCAAAAGTAATATAATTCTGGTAAAACGTCACATGGATTCTCCTCCATGGAAACTCAATAGAAGCACAAAAGCAAAAGAAAGCTAAATGATAGGAAAGAGACAGACAGAGAAAATAGCACTACTTCACCTTTCCCCTGAGAATATACACAATTTAAATTTCGGTACACTATTTCCCACACTTCCTCCCCATTTTTTGTTTATAAATTCTCATTAGTGTGTGTGGGTAGCATTTCCTCACAGCCAAGATCTGCATCTCTCTATTAGTGTCCCGGTACCTTCAGGGTCCTGGCCAAAAACTAATAAATACAATGGCAAA